CTACTACTACTATCACTACTACTACTACTACTACTAATAATAATAATAATAATAATAATTATTAATAATAATTAATAATAATAATTTTAAAAAAAATAAATTTCGTTTCTAGCTTTTACACTTCGACAGTGGCAATTAAAAAAAAGTTGTACGAAATTTTGCAAAGATTCTTTTTATTCCTTTTTTTGTTCTCCTCGTTCTTTCATTCATTCCCCTGTGATTGACAGGTTTAAGTGGGGGGTAGTTTTTTTTTTCGTCGGCAGGTGGCCGGTCCATTACAGAGTGGCAAGTGCTATGTAAATAACAAAATGATAGTGTGCGTGTTCTATGTGGCCGGTTTGCCACTGCTGTTCGTTTGTTTGTTTGTTTTCTGCTTGTTAGTTTGTTGATGTTGAGGTTGTTGCTGTTGTTGTTGCTTGTCGATGTTAATGTTGTTGTTGTTGGTGTTGATTTTGTTGTTGTTGGTGGTGGTGTGGATGAGGATTTTGTTGTTGTTGCTTGTGGTGGGGTGGAATAAATATTTTGTTGTTGTTGCTTGTGGATGTTGTTGTTGATGCTAATGTTGTTGTTGTCTGCTGATGCTGCAATATTTTCAACGTTTTCAATGTTCTTTTTTGTTTGCCACTAAACATGAGAAATTTCGAAGGCATTAAAAATGAATGAGCGGAAATGAAAGAATTATGAATTTTTTTTTTATTTCAGAAACGCTTAGAAATTATAAAACTCTTTTTTAAATAGAGTGCGCGCGCGCACGCACACAAACAACCACACACACGCACACAAACAACCACACACACGCACACAAACAACCACACACACGCACACAAACAACCACACGCACACATTCAGACACTAAGACGTACAGGTCAACAACACGACAACAATAATAACAACAATATCAATATTAGTGATTACAAATAACAATAATAATAATAATAATATCATTGATAATAATAATAATAAAATATAGTAATAATTATGATTATTTTATTACGGCAACCCCCGATCTCGGGGAAAATGCCGTCTAAACGTGTGTTGTGTTGTTGTATGATAATTTTATTAATATAATTTATGATATAATTACTACAAAATTTTCAAGTAAAACATTGTGACGTACATATAAAGAACTGGTTAGATCGGTCAATATTTATATAAATGAAACGTTTCAAGACGACCACGACTGCCGACGTCATCATCACCACCACCACCACCACCACCACTACCACCACCACCACCACCATCGTCATCACCATCATCATCGTTGCGATAGCATTCATTATCATAACTTTTCTTTTTGGAGTTAACTTCACTTTTAATGAAATTCAACTGGAAGGAGATGGGCGGAGGCAGAAGGGCTTGCAAGCTGTTGCTGAACGTCATCTCGCCACTGGCTAAGCAGACCTTTTCGCAAACCATCGAGAAAAAATTCAGATCTCTATGCTCTAAATTTAGCCACGAGTCACGTGTTATGAAAATTATTTTGTGTCTTTGGTATTCTAGAATGTTTAGAAGTGTTTTGCGGAGTTTGTTGTTGCTGTTGTTGATGCTGTTGATGTTGATGTTGTTGTTGATGTTGTTGCTGTTGAAGTCCTTGTTGATGCTGTAGTTGCAATTGTGCTTAGGGATTGACAAATTTTTCTGTAGATATGATTCGGACAAGACAACAATGGTCAACTGACTGGCCGATATCTGTAAATAAAATATAAACACTTGTACGAAGGTTACGGTAGCAAAATTAGAATATTCGTAATCATCATCGTCGTCGTCGTCGTCATCATCATCATTACTTACCTGTCGAAACACTTCATCACAATTGCCATCATCTCCATCATCTTCATTATCTTCATCATCGTCACCAACTACAGAGTCGCATTTGAGAAAGAAATTTTTCATCGTCATTATCTTCCTCTTCTTCTTCGATTTCGGTATAAACTTCGATCTATCAGTCCAGCTATCGCTATTATCGATACCAATACCAATATAACCGGTATTATCAATACCAATAATACCGGTATTCGAATCTTGCAGATGTTGTTGTAAGCTTATCTTGTATGTTGGGTATTTCGACCAAAGTATATCCAACAAAACCCCTGCAACCCAGTTCTCGTCGTCCTCGCTGTATGATACAAAGATATCATTTGATATCATTATCTTCCCTGGTGGTGATGATAATGGCGGCGGCACTCGAGCCGTCGGTACGTGCTTGAATATTTCGGTATTGGTAGCATTCCTGCCGGCCTGGAAGCTTTTAGATTTTAGAGCCGTTTTATTCTTTATTTTAATAACTTTAAAATATAGGAATGCCACTGCTAGAAATCCAGTTATCGATAAGCAGGCAATAAAAATTGGTAAACTAATCTCAGACGAATATTCGCCGAATGTCGAATCGCTCAACAAAAGCTTCAACATCGTACTATTGTTGTTGTTGTTGTTGTTGTTGTTACTTCCGATACCGATGATTTCCGTGATGTTATTAACTCGGTTATATCGCTCCGGTACTATCCAATTCTCTGTTAACCGTATATTCGTTTGATCGTCGAAGTTGTAATAAAACAGAGCATCACTGTTCTGTGATGACGACGATGAGGATGAAGATGATGAAGATGATGATGAAGACATTTTATTCATTTTTCTGCCATAATGGTAATTTTTTCTCAGCGTAAAATTAGGACAATGATCGTTGAACCGACGAATAAATTCGGATACCGATTGACCACTGGCACATTTCCATTCAGAAAAATCGCCCTTCATTTTATTGAAACTTCTTTTAAACTGTCTAATAGATTTGTAAACACTTTTAGTGCAAGAACATTCTAGAGGGTTCATTCGAAGAGTTAAAGCATTTAAACTTTTCATTTTCTGCACGTCAGCCACTGAGATGCGATGTATCGAATTATCGTGCAAGTATAAAGACTCGAGCCCAGGGTAGAGCGCTCGTAATAAGTCGAAATCGACTTTGGAGATGTGATTATGCGACAAGTCGAGTTGAACCGAATACCGAATGACCGATTCGATATTTTTGTTGTTTGTGAAGGTGATGCTGTTGTTTTTGTTGTTTGTTGAGATGATGATGTTGTTGTTGTTGTTGTGACTGATGATTGGACTAAAAGGATGATCAAGAAATAACGTTTTCAAGGATGTGATTTTGTTATTATTGTTTTTACCATTGTTGATGTGATTTTGATGGTTGTTGTAATTATTATTATTATTATTATTATTGTTGTTTTTGTTGCTGCTGCTGTAACTACAGTTCACTATTAGTTTCATTAAAATGGCATTTTTGGCCTTGTTAGTATAATTGCTTGTATTATTATTATTATTATTGTTATTATTATTTGTATTATTATTATTATTATTATTATTATTAACTATTTTCACACACGTACATAAACTCGGACAATAATCATAATAATAATAATAATAGTAATAATAATAATGACGATGATAAAAATGATCCATCCCGAGACTAAAAAGACGACGATAGTAGCGATCGTACTCCTGATGACGATACCGGAAACGATTGTCATTGTCATGTTGATGATGATGATGATGATGGTGTAGGTTGTGATAATGATGCCGCAAAGAATTAAAACCGGAATTTTTTCCCTTTTCATCAATTAACCTACCGCCTTCGCTGCTCCCTAGCTTATTATTATCATCATTATTATTATTATTATTGTTGTTGTTGTTGTTGTTGTTATTATTATTGTCGTTGTTATTATTATTATGGCCGCTAGATCTTACTCTGGGTCTCGGAGTCTTGCCATTTAACTGCGAGCAATATAGATTTATTAGGACCTGCATGTTGGCGGTTCTCTCAGATTTTTCCTCGCTTTTGTTGTTATAGCTATTATTATTATTATTAATGTTGTTGTTGTTGTTGTTGCTGCTGTTTGTTGAATCATCATTATCAACATCGTTATAGCTACCACCATCATCACCACCACCATCATCATGATCATCATCACCACCACCATCATCATCATCACCGTCGTCAAAGTTATCGTAATAATAATAAACAGTTTTATTATTATTATTATCATTACTATTGTTGTTGTTGTTGTTGTTATTCGCATTATTGTATTTAATATAATCGTAATCGTCGGTATTATCGCCCAGACCCGCGCATAAATCAACATAGATATATAATGGCATCTCCCGAGCAATTGTTTGTTCTGTGGTCCTAACCATATCAATCTTCTCGTATTTATAATCTTCTGTATTTTGTCTGCTTATGTTTACGTTATAGTTGATGTTGTTGTCTGGGATGACGGTTTTGATGTTGTTGTTGTTGATGTTGTTGATGTCTGTGAAGTCCCCAGAGTTAAAAATAGCATTCTTATTTGCTGCAAAGTCTTCGCTTATTTTTTCTATGACAATAATCTCTTCCTTATTATTATTGTTACTGTTATTAGTGTTGTTGTTGTTGTTGTTGTAACGGTTTGTAAATACGTCTGGAGTATTTACGACACCGAATAATCTTAAAACATATGCAATTGTTTCTAACTTGTTGATGATGTTATTATCATTATTATTATTGCTGTTATTACTATTATTATTGTTGTTGTTATTGTTATTATTATTATTACTATTTTTATGACGTCGTACGCTGGTCAGTATAACGTCCAGTTGGGGTTTTTCGCTTGTTTCGCTTTCTGAATGCACACTTTCACTGAGCCCTCGTACCAACACATTGGCATCGGAAATTATTACATTGACTGAGACGGAAGATTTAAATGGGGTTTTTCTAAGAGGGAAGTTCAATGTTTGGAGTTTCATATTTAAACCTGGAAAACCCCAGTTTCGTAATGGGAAAACCCAAGTTTCGATTTGCGTTATTTTGTTATTAGTGCAGTCGAGTTTACGAAGATTTTTAAGGTGTTTAAACCATTCTTTGTTTAATTTTGTGAGTTGATTGTTTGAGAGATTCAGGTTTTTTATTCGGCTGAGCGTGTATTTGAACACGGGAGCTTTGATCTCGGCGAGTTTGTTGTAACTGAGATCGAGTGTTTGTAGTTCTGGCCAGGGTCTTGGGTTTTGGACTTTTTTGTTGTTGTCATTTTTGTTGTTCACATTTTCATTGTTCACCTTCTTTTTGTTCATACTTTCGTTCGTTTTCTTGTTTTTACTTTTGTCCGCATCATCGTCAATAAAACTTGTACTACGCCGAGATGTATCAATATCGTCGATCCTTGTATTGATACTCGTATCATGATTTGTCTCGTTATTTGTATCAGTATTCGTCTCGGTATTTGTATCAGTATTCGTCTCGGTATTTGTATCATAATTCGTCTCGGTATTTGTATCGTGATTCGACTCGGTATTTGTATCGAGCGTCAAATTGACAGCAAATATTCGCGGATCATCGTCATTCGGTTTCCGAGTCTTATTGCCATCGATTTGTACGGTATCACCGTGTGAATGATAATCTCCGTAATTGATGTCCAGGTTTTTCATCCTCGATAGATGGCTGTCATCATCATTATCATCACCCCCATCATCATCATCCTCATTATCATCCTCATCATCATCATTATTATTATTGTTATTATTATCTATGTTATTTTTGTTGTTGTTGTTGTTGTTTTTGTTTGCACGATCATCGTCCTCCTCATCATCATCATCACGATGGGTATCATTATCATCGCTACCCTCATTATCATTATCGGTGTCGGTACCGTCATCATCATCATCAGTACCGTCATAATCATCATCATCATCACCGCCATCATCTATACCGTACTTCAGATCGATTTGATCCGGGTCATATTCGTCATCGTCATCACCATCATCATCATTATCATCTTCTTCATCTTCTTCTTCTTCAACTTCATCACCATCATCATTGGTGTAATCGGTCGTTACAGATGAATAAAAGGCCGATCCTTGTATACCGACCAAGCGATTTCTCGATAGATTAAGCATCTTCAGCTGAAATAAATCAACGAAAGTGAAGTCGATAATCTCATCTAAATTATTGTTTGACAAGTCGATGATTTCAACGCTGGCTAGACGGCCAGTGACGTCGTTACTACTACTGCTGCTACTACTATTGCTGCTGCTGCTACCACCCTTACTGCAGCCGCCTACGAATGATAGCGGTTCCAGAACCGATATAGAATTATTCGATAGTATAATTGATCGAATTGTACTCGGTCTCACTTCTGTTTCGTCATCGTTGTCAAAATTATTATTATTATTATTATTATTGTTATTATTATTAATTATATAATTTATTTTGCCATTTTTGATAATTAAATTTTTAATTCGTGGAAATTTTTTTGCAATATCGTTAACGGAAGTAGCGTTTTCGTTCAGGTTTTCAATCGAAACGTCGGTATAATCGGTCAGGAAATGGTGCTCGATACTTATCGTCGTTGTCAGACTCGGTATAATTACCAATTCGTTATAATTTTCAATCATTGGATTGTCCCCGGAAGTAGTATCGTTATTCGTCGGTTCGATACCGACGCTCCGTCTACTCTGTCTATATCTAGCAAAGCATTCATTCGGTAGAATCGATTCATCTGTTTGCATGAAAATATCGTAGGATAATAATGAGGAGGAAGAAGAAAAAGAAGATGGATCTGATGATGATGACGACGACGATAATGATGATGATGATGAAGGAGATGATGATGATGATGAAGGAGATGATGATGATGATGATGATGATGATGATGATGAAGGAGATGATGATGATGATGATGATGAAGGAGATGATAATGATGGATCGCGAGACGTCGTGCAAGCGATTTTGAATGAATTTTCTGGAACATCACTTATGCAAGTGCATCTCCACTCCCATGATGATGATGATGATGATGATGATGATGATGATGATGATGGTGATGATGACGATAGTATTGACGATGTGGTTGTTGCCACACGTGATTTCAATGCTAACTCGAAAAGTGCCACAAATTTATTGGCACCGCTAAACTCAGTTAGGGTAGTAGTTGTAGTAGCAGCTGTAATAGTAGTAGTAGTAGTAGCAGCAGCAGAAGTAGTAGTAGTAGTAGAAGTAGTAGTAGTAGTAATAGTATTAGTAGAAATAGTAATAGTAATAGTAGTAGTAGTAATAGTAGTAGTAGTAGCAGTAGTAGTAGTATTAGTAGTAGTAGCAGCAGTAGTAGTTGTAGTAGTAGTAGCAGCAGTAGTAGTAGTAGTAGGAATATTTATTGATGTTTTCTTTCTAAGTGGAAAAAGATTAATATCTTGATATGAATAAGTGGTAACACCTGCTACCATTGCGATTGTTTTGATGTTTGTTGATGTTGTTGTTGTTGATGCTGTTGTTGATGTTGTTGTTGATGTTGACGTTGTTGTTGCTGTTGATGTTGCTGTTGTTGACGTTGTTGTTGATGTTAATGTTGTTGTTGCTGAGGTAGATGGTGACATTGTTGGTAATCCGGAAAAACCAATCTTCATTACGTTTTGTTGATCCTTTAACACATTCAACTGATCCGTACGATTAGCCGGGAACAATGATGACGTCATTATGTTGTTGTTGTTGTTGACGTTGTTGTTGTTGTTGTTGTTGTTTATTTTGATAATGTTGCGATTGTAGTGCATTAAATTTGAAAAAAATTTTGTTATTGATGTTTGCGTTTTTGTAATTGTGAATGATGGTATTGATGTTGTTGTTTCAAAGTTTGCTGATGAACTAATAGTAGTAGTAGCAGCTGTAATAGTAGAAGTAGTAGTAGCAGTAGTAGAAGCAGTAGTAGTAGTAGTAGCAGCAGCAGCAGTAGTAGTAGTTGTAGTAATGAAGGCGTTCAAAACAAGAAATACTGCTGTCACGTTGAAAACGCTTAAAAGAACTAGAGAGAAAACTTGACTTGGATACGGCATTTTGTTGTTGTTGCTGTTGTTGTTGTTGTTACTGTTGTTGTTGTTGTTGCTGTTGCTGTTGTTGTTATTGTTGTTGTTGCTGGTTTAAAAAATTTTATATTTCTGCGAAAAAAATATAATGAATTTTTTTTCAGTGTGTAATATTCAAATCTTCTATTATAAATAGTAAAAACGCATGTTGGAAATAATTTAAGCGACTGTGATGATGAAGATGACGATGATGATGATGATGATGATGATGATGGCGATGATGATGATGACGATGATGACGATGATGATGATGATGAGGATGACGATGATGATGATGATGAGGATGATAAAAACTTATCGGAATAAATTATTACAACCGGCATGCAATGAAGAGAGATCCATTTTCATTTCGACATTTAGATTAAATTTATACGTCAGTTGTATTACAACAAAGTGCAGAGATACGTAAACATATACAAAGATATTCAAACGTATATTAACATAAACAAAGATATACAAACACGTGCAAAGATTAATAAACATAGACAAAGAATTGAAAATATCAACAATGGAATAAAAATTTTTAAGATTGAAAAAAATAGCTATATACAAAACATTACACACGCACCCAATCGAAAGCATGCAACCAAACAAAAGTAATACAAGCAGAAATACACACAGACATACAAACAAACAAATAAACATACAAATAAATACAATCACGTCACATAACACGGAGTTACATTACGAAGTTAATCTCAATCCGACCGGGATGCAATTTGTTTCAATATCAAAATACACAAAATGTGGTTTCAAATTTTGTTGAAAATAATTGTATGCAAACACACGCACACACGAACCAACGCGCGCGCGCACACACACACACATCAACTGCATTCAAGGATACAATCAACCCAACAACCCTAACCCTACAGCAGCAGCAGTAGTAGCATCATTTTAACTACCAATAAATATTTGATAAGTATACACTGGAAAAAATACTAAATTACTCCAAAAGACTTCTTGCACGGATTTTTTCACTGCTCGCGAACACTGACAATAAAATAGGATAGGTGGCAATGTAAACGCGCGCGGAATAGGGAAGAGTGCCGAGTTAGCTCCCCCACGTGTACAATTATAAATGTATTTGTCTCGTTCACCTCCTTTCCTCTCTTCTCTCTCTCTCTCCTCTCTCTCTCTTTCTCTCTCTCTTCTCTCTCTCTCTCTCTCTCTCTCTCTCTCTCTCTCTCTCTCTCTCTCTCTCTCTCTCTCTCTCTCTACACCCTATTTCTTGTCACAAACAATCAGATAAATATGGAACAACGCTGCTGAATAAATTTGAAACAACACCATCGCCAATAAAATCGCGGCCATTAAATTTCAATACAGGAGCAAATAATTAATGGGTCGATAATTTCATGATGGTTTCTCATGAATATGCAACGATGTCCTGATAGATAATTAATGAGGTTCTCATGAATATGTAATGAGGGTCTCACGAATATGTAATGAGGTCTTGTGAATATGTAATGAACTAGCGCAGTGCAGGCTGTTAAATATGCATAAGGGATTTTTTGACGGGCATAGAAATGTTGGCAATTGGGTTGTGAAATCCAAAGCAAATTCAAACAGAATAAATTAAAAAAATTTCAAGTTGTGGTGATAGTAATTCTAGTAGCAACAGTAATCGTAGTAATCGTAACTGTCATGGTGCTAGCAGCAGCTGTAGCAGCAGCTGTAGCAGCAGCTGTAGCAGCAGCTGCAGTAGTAGCAGCAGCAGTAGCAGGAGTAGTATTAGTAGTAGTGGCAGCCATTAAATGTAAAAAGAGTAAGTTTGAAATGTACCTATTCTTTTTGTCTCGACCCAAGGAGGCGGGCATTAGAATTTTGTGATAGACAATAAAGAGTGCAGTTATTGTTAGCGTTGAAGTAGGCTGGTGAATAAGTAATTGCTGTTTCTACTACTACTACTACTACTACTTCTACTACTACTAATACTAATACTACTACTTTTACTGCTGCTACTACTACTACTATTACAACTACTACTACCACTACTGCCACTACTACAACTACTCTTACTATTACGACTATTGCTGCTGTCGTTTTGCTTTTACTAATACTACTGCTACTACTACAGCTTCTAAGAGATATTAACTAAAAAAGAGAGAGAAAGATAATGAGTGAGAGAGAGAGATGGAAAATTTTTTAGGAGGTAGAACAATGGAGCGAAATTAAAAGAGAACAAAAGTTGAAAAAAAGAAGAAAAAAGAATGAGAGAATGACAAAAAAATGAAAGACAGACAGATGCAATGAAAACTGAAATAAAGATAAGCAATAAAAGACAGAAAATAAAAAAAATTATATATGAGAGTGCAAGAATTCAACGAAGCGTATATTGAAGAAAGTGCTTGTGTGTGGCGATCCTGATGACGATTGTTGTTGTTGTGGATAATGATGATGATGATAATGATATGATGATGATGATGGTGAGGTTGATGCTAGTAATGATAATGACGTCAGTGATGATGATGATGATGGTGGTGGTGGTTGTCTTGTCAATCATGATACACACACAATATAATGTGAATATGCATTAAACACAAACACGTATTTATAAATATGTGTGTGATTATGTGTGTATATGTGATTCTGTGTTTTTTATGTCTGTGTGTGTGTGTGTTTGTATGTGTGTACGTGTGTACGTGTGTGCGGCACACGAAAATACATCACAAGAAAAACATAAAAAATCACGCCATTATACATAAAAGGCATGCAAATGTTACATATTATGTTACAAAATTATATTTAATTATATTATAAAATTATATTATATTATAGAATTATATTATAATATGCAGTTGCTATTCTCGTCTCCTGATTGGTTAAGAGTGCTGTGACGTAAGAGATAATTTGGATAACAACTTCCTTTTTGAGGTTTTTTGGTCTGCCTTGTTGATGTCATGTATATTTGTTTAGCGTGTGTGCACTTTTAAAAAATAAATACATACATATGAACATACATTTATACGAACATACAAACAAACATCCATAAAGACATGTATACATACATACATACATACATACATACATACATACATACATACATACATACATACATACATACATACATACATACATACATACATACACACATCAATTGTATATATACAAATTGTTTGTGTTTGTATGTTTGTATATATATATAGTTGCATAACATATATACAAGATAACTGAAAACACGTTGATTGTTCGTCTGATAACCTTTTGTTTATGCTAGATTTGTGTCCAAGTCATTTGTATTTAACATTTATTACATAAAATTTAAATTTACATTGTTAATAATAATTACTAATAATTTTTATATTACATATATATATATATAATTATGTTATATTACATAGAATATTATGTTATAATTATATCAATTTATATATATTAGTTTATATATGTAATGTTTTTAATTCTTTATCACATATATAGAAGCACAATTGCCAACATGTCGGTATACGTCAGATATACCGTGAAAATCTCATAAATGACCCCTCTCTGACCTTTATATATATGTATGTATATGTATGTATAATGTATATATATATATATATATATATATATATATATTATATATATATATATATGTGTGTGTGTGTGTGTGTGTGTGTGTGTGTGTGTGTGTGTGTTGTATATACATTTATATATGACCTCTGACCTCTCTGACCCCATCCAAGATAAGTTGACTTACGATGGGGTAGCCATGAATTTTCTGGTTGACCTGAAAATAAAATCAATGGCGCCGAATTTCGTGTGCAAGTACTTCTACAACTACCACTGCTGCTGCTGCTGCTACTACACATACTACTACTACTACTGCTGCTACTACAGTTACTACCGCTACTATTAGTATTAGTAGTAGTGTTGCTAAAACTTCCGTTCATAATAATAATTAATAATGTTACATCTTCACTCTTTTATAATTGTATAATTATATTATAATTGTATTATAATAACTATGTTAATTATAATTGTTGGTATTTTAAACTGTTAATGTAACTATAGATTCGATTGTGGATCCTGTATATATTATTATTATTATATTATTATTATTATAACATATTATTATTATTATTATTATTCTGCTATGCTGTTATAAGTGTTATTGATGAGATTGCATATCCACGCCAATGACGTCACTCACTCAAACTGGCCACAACATCACGTGACCGGTCTACGTCACTATCAATTGTTATTGTTGTTACTACTACTACTACTACTTCTTCTGCTACTACTACTGCTACTAATACTACAACAACAACAACAGCTACTACTACTAATACTACTACTACTACTACTACTACTACTACTACTACTACTACTACTAATACTATTTCTGCTACTAGTACTGCTACTACTACTACTACTACTACTACTAATACTACTACTGCTACTGCTACTACTACTACTACTACTACTACTTCTACTACTACTACTACTACTACTACTACTACTTCTATTACTGCTGCTACTACTACCACTACTTATAATAATAATACTTGTACTACTACTACTACAGCTTCTACTACTACTACTACTACTACTACTACTACTGATATATCTACCACTACTACTACCACTACTAGTACAAATAATAATAATAATAAACATCATTATCATCATCA